TTCAGGCCGAGCGGGCGGCCCTCGGTGACCTCCAGCCCGGCCGCTCGGACGGGCCCGCCGCTGGGCTTCATTCAGCGCCTGAACCTTCCATTTTTTTTTCAGTCATGTAGGACTTCTGAGGTTCTCAGGAGGTGCGGTAGGAGCACACCGTGGGTTTGTTGTACACGTTTCCTTTCGTTTCGGTTCTTGTATTTCGTAAACAAAGGAGTGGGCATTGTCCTGATGGTTTTCTGTCGTTTCAGTTCGTGATTCCAACCCTGGGGGTTATAGAGAGGTCTTTTACCACTCCGATTCTAGAATCAGACATTGATTTTGATTTTTTTCATTTTTTTCCCTTATGTGCTGCTGCTTCCCAAAGGTCTTTCGATCTAGATTGAAGTCTTCCATCTTCCGCTTTCTGTATTTCTTTAGCTCTTGTTGCCAGCTAGCAATGTGTACTTATATTGAATGCAAACGAGTACATTTTTAACTCCCTCAGGAGCCTTTAATCCACCCTTCATCTCCTTGCCTAAGTTGCAATCTCAAATTTAAATATATCCCCTTGACCTAGAGCCAGTGAATCTTCGAGATTCACTGTTTTTAGACTTTTGGACTTTTCCATAATGCGCTAATATTGCTTTTTTTTTTTTTATGGCCAGAGATTTGTGTCTTAGTAGTTTGTTGTATCCCCAGTAGCACGATTCCTGAAGAAAGTGGTGATCGGTAATGTGGAAAACGTGGCTACTGTTAATTTAACTTAAATTGATTAACTGATGCATACATTTAAACTTTAGTCTTGAGTGTCTGAAATAAAAATGTTTCCTACAGGATTTAATTAAGGAGGTCGTGTCCAAGGTGTAGTCTTCAACAAGATGCGTGAGAGAATTAACAGTGACTCAAGAGTTCTGGTTTAGTGAGCTCTCTGGGTGTCTGAAAGGATTGCCAGTTGGTTTGGAGTTACCAACTCCACTATCTAGGAAAAGGAGATTCTACAGAATTCTATTTGTGTTGCAGAATTGAAAGAATTAACTCCTGTAACCATTCTGTTTAGGTGATTATTTTTTGGATTTCATTTGTTAAGGGGTTTTAACTTCAAAGCATCACACACATTCCTGAATAATTCAGACATTTTTTCTAATTATATTTAATGGTGTCTTAATGTTTTAGAATAATTGAATGTAATAAGTTTAAGGAGGGATATTCTTTTCCAAATTTTACAAGTTGATTAATTTCCCTTTATCAACAAGATGCTAACTAAGTCTTGCTTTGCATGTCCCTATCCTTCCATTACTGTGCACTTGGAAAGGAAATCACAATAGTTACTACAGCTCAGTCATCTCACACACACACACACACACACACAAATACACACACTACTGGATAATTCAGACATTTAAAAATTATATTCAATGGCTTCTTAATGTTTAGAATAATTGAATATAATAAGTTTGAAAGTTATTCTTAATATAAATAAGAAGTATTATGTTAAACCCAGCTACCCTCAGCCTGGGTTGATGCAGATATAACTTTAAAAATAAGCAATACTTTTGTAACTTGTATTTTTTAAATGCAGAGCCAATTAATTTCAGATAGGTGCTGTTTTTGACATCCCGTTGGCAACGAATGTCACATCTAAACGGGAAAAGGTGACCTTGTCTGTAAGATTGAGAGACACACCTGTGGACTGTTGGGTCTCTGGTGGGGAGGAATTCGGACAGTGTGTTGATGCTCATTGGTGTCTCTTTTCTCTTCTAGGACCAGCAGAGAGAAGAGATTCCATCTTCCAGAGTTCGCCACTGTCTGCCTCCCCACTTATCCCCATCCTCAGTCATCTTTTTTTCTGTAGAACAGCACATTGCTTGTTCTTCATAGTGAATATGGTTAAATCTGACACAACCTATTGACTTGAAATTTGCACTTTAAGTGTTAATTGTTGCTGAAAATTGTCCTTGGGTTTGTTAAACTCCCCAATTACATCGACTATTTTAAATGAACAAATTTATTTCTGAGCTATATAAAAAGGAACATAAGGAAAAAGTTTTTTTTTCATATTTTTGACTAATTAGATTCATATAATATTAGAACATATAAATCCCTTTTTCGGTGGGGAATTTTATGTTAATAAGTAGAATTTCAAGAAATAATATTTGACCAAAATTTGAAAGTTTTGGGAAGACACTTATTTATTTATGCATACAAGAGCTGGGGTTCAGGACAGAAGTGTAGGGGTAGGGGTGAAAGGATTCATTAGAGACAGTGAGGAGCAGAACAGGCAGATGGATAGAAATACCCTGCTGAGGGGAGCAGCAGGTGAGACAGGAGAGGCCTGCTGTACCATGTAGGTCAGCTCCGTGGCTGGGGATAGAACTTGTGCTACAGTGGCTGCTGATAGCTTCATAGTGCTGTGCTTTAGCAACTCTTGTGCCACCAGGGACACCCATAACTTATTTATTGAAGCAAATTACCTAATAGTAAAAAAGTTAAAAAAAAAAAGTGATTTTTTTCCTTTATTGCCTTGCTGGGTGAGGAACTTACAAATCAAAGTGTCCTTGGGTTATAAACACTTGAGTTAAAAGTCACTTGAGCCTCTGGCCCAGTGCTCTTCAGTGTATGGAGCCAGACAGTGACCTGCCCTATTTGGGGGCAGTTACAAACCCAGTAAGTTAATACCATGTTCAGGAAATTTGTGGGTACCTTATATTAGGGACTTCCTCAAACCCTGCTGTAGTACAATTTTTTAAGAACTGAATGGATATCCAAAGTGTGTGTTCCATGTTTATTCTGTTGCCCAGGGATCCCTAAAGTCATTAATTTGACAAGATCTCCAATGTTCTCTCTCTCTCTTTTTTCTTGATGTTATTTATAAAACTTTGTGTACTAGCCTATAAGCTCTGGCTTAAGCTCTTTATGGAAGCTGCACCTTTAAGTTTCATTGACAGTGACTATCTTTTGCAGCTAGTATGACATTTGAAAACTACATTTTTTTAGCTAATGAAAGACACTGATTTATGTTATATTCATGTCTTGTATCTTGGGTAGTTGAATTTAATAATGTAAAAGCAGTTTTATTAGTAAGGTTGTTAATTTTTCTCCAGACTCTACACTGTAGTAGTTAATCAGACTTCTATCTCTGCAGTAGGACAATTTGATGTAAAACCACATTTATTCTTGAAAGATTAAAGCTGGAAGGACACAGGTGCCAGTCAGTGCCATTTCTTTTTTTTTTTTTTTCCTTTTTTAAAGATTCATTTATTTATTCATACAGAACTGGGGTATAAGCCAGGGGTGCAGGGCAGTGAGAGGCTTCACCAGAGACAGAGTGGAGAGCAGAAAAAGCAGATCGACAAGGTACACTGCTGAGGGGAGCGGCAGGCAAGGCAGGACAGGTCTGCTGCGCCATGTGGATCACCTCTGGGGCGGGATATTGAACTCACTGAAGCAGCTGTGGCCAGCTTACAGTGCTGCGTCCTAACCCCTTGCAGCACCATTTCTAAAGCTGATTTTCCACAAACTTGATTTGAGCATGGGTAGAATTAGACCCATGGACTAGCAAAGGCAGTTTTTTTTTGGGGGGCGCGCTAGAGAAAGGCAAATACTGCGGTGTGGCTTTCATATCTCTTACTGCTTTAACCTGTCTAGTGAAAAGGAGATATAGTAGTTATATGGCAATAAATTTGATTCTACACAGTTCTTACATCATTTTAAATTTAGAACCTAAATGCTTCACTACTGGTCTTATAGCCTAGTTTTATGTCTGTCCCAACTGCTCTGTGAAAATGTGTTCTAATGTCCCCCAAATAAAAAATCTGCAATAGAAGATAAAAAAAGATACAATTTCATCTTGTTTTTCATGGTTCAGTAATAATTTAGCAGTTTAATGATAATATTTGTTTTGCAAATGTTTGAAATCATAGTCTTATCATTTTAATACTTCGATAGAAATGATAAAAATGAAGAAAAAAATCATAATCTTCCATGGTCATATAATTCATAGAAGTCCATATGAGGGTTTTAAAATTGTTAGACTTAGAGATGATTAAGTATGGAAGGAGGTTTAAAGAGGTAGGAACTTCAGTGAAATGTGTCATACTGTCAGTGAGTGAGATAAATTTATGATTAGTAGGAAATGAAATTTACTACCAGGAAGTGCAATTGCATCAGGAAAAAACACACCAAAAAGACAAAAAAAAAATCATCTTTTTAAATGGCATATACTCCAAACCTAAATTAATATTAAAGGAGAACTCAGGGATGGTGATTATCCAAGAAGGCTTATCCAGCTGCTCTACTTAATATTACACCATAAGCATTGTTAATGTTGCCATTGTTTTTATTAATATTTTATTGACTGCATCATATCACATTAAGTCAATTGGCCATAATTTATTTAACCACCTTGCTGTTGTTCAATGTCCAGTCCTTGGGGCATGTGAAATAATACACTCTCAGATTCAGGTCATGTTCTCATCAACACCATACCAACCAAGTTTGTTTATTTAATCATCTGACCTCTGTAGGTTTCTGTAATTATTCTCATTAAATGAGTTTATGTGGAATCAAAAGGCTACACAAAGATCAGTAAATCTTAAATGTGTATATACTCATATACATACATATTAGTAATATTTAAATTCACAGTTTAAATATTCCCTTCACTCTTTTGGCTGGACTAACTTCACTATGAATAGCTTGCATTTCAGTACTAGTTGTGTTAAAAAAAATCATTAATAGTCAGTGATTAATTACTTTGCCTTAGGCATTTTGCTGAAAATTTTCATGCAGTTTATCCTTTAATGCTCACATTAACTGAAGGGAAAGTAGACCCTTCTTATTCCTACTTAACAGATTGGGAAATTCAGGTTTACAGAAATTAAATAACTTTTCCAAATTAACACAGTAATTGAATAATGAAGACAAAAGTTTAAACTTATGTAATCTCCCTAGCATTTTGCTTTATAAGGAATTATAATTGTTGACATGCTTCATGCCTGTCTTCTTTTAGAAAAAACTTCAAGTCAGAGTTTTTCTGAATCAAGAAGCTAATTTTTCATATCATGCTTATTAAACATTATGTTGTCAATTCGCTCAATTTAGGGTGTCCTTGACTTGGAACCTGATGGGTAGAATTCGGGGAGTCTGCAAACTGAGGTGG